ATTTGACCTTTTTATTATTTATTAATATTGAATATATAGGTACACATATTGTTAAAACAGATGTTAGGAAGCAAAACAAGGGTTTCTCCACTAGAGGACATATACGATCAGAGACAAGCATATATCGAACATGAACATGTATTCCTCAAGCAGATAATTTTAGCAAAATTAATAAAAGAACACACAACACAACACAATGTGGTTATAGTTTAACCCCTTAAGCCCTGAGGCCATTTTTAGAGTTTTTTGTCTGAGAAACACACATAAAAGTAAAGACTCATAACTCCAAAACTCTAGCAAGGAGAGTCAAAAGGTTGGTATCGTTTGATAGAAAACTTTCCAAATTTTTTGAAAAGATAAATTACATTACATTTGAACATTGTACTGCTGAGAAACTGCTGATAAAAGACAAAAAAAAAAATATATTTTTTTATGATTTTTCATATCTTTCTTGTTTGAGATGTAATATCTCTGGAAGGAAATACGGTAGCAAAAAAAATCTTTTTTGGCGAAGTCCCTCTACATGTGAGCTGCATCTGTATCAATTTTTGTGGTGATCGCATAAAGTACTCAAAAGTTAGAGCATTCTGAGCAAAGGTAGTCTTTTTGTTTAGTCCTCACACATTTGGAAGGCAATACAAAAATGCTGTTTTCTGAGTGACACACACAAAACTAAAGAGTCATAACTCCAAAACTCTAGCAAGGAGAGTCAAAAGGTTGGTATCGTTTGATAGAACACTTTTCAAATTTTTAAAAAATATATATTACATTACATTTGGACATTCTGCTGCTGAAAAACTGCTGAAAAAAGACAAAAAATAAATATAATTTTTATTATGATTTTGCATATCTTTCTTATTTGACATAGAATAACTCAGGAAGGAAATAAGGTAGGAGGAAAATTCTTTTTTGGTGAAGTCCCTCTACATGTGAGCTGCATCTGGATCAAATTTTGTGCTGATTGGATTAAGGAATCCAAAGTTATAGCATTTGGAACCAATGTAGTCAGTTCTCAGTTCTTTACGCCCCCCTACTGGGCATTCTTGAAATTGTTTCTCCATGGAGAATATCTTGTCATATGTGCAATAGATTAAGTTCATTTTGGGCTCATTTTAATTGTAATAATATGCTGTAAAAAATGATGTGCCATTTTCAACTATCTGTGAATGTTTCATGAGCTGTATGATGTTTTTGACACATTACAGTACATAGTACAGAAAAGTATTTTATTGATTATGATTTTTTTTTTTATATTTATCAGCAAATAACTTAGCACTACTTAGGAGTTTTTCAAAGTGGCTACATTCACTGTAAAGTTCAGACTCTAAGCTTTCAAATGAAACCTATTTTTTGTTAATCAAGGCAAAAAATTTTTTAAATATGGTAATGAACATTTACGCAGCTAGGCGGCGCCCACGGGTGGGACACTCCGGTTTAGAGTGTTCAGTCAGCACTTGTTCAGAGTTGATCTAAGTGGTTGGATGCGTTAAAAAGCTGAGATTCTAAGCTTTAAAACGACACATATTTTGTGTTATTCCACGTAAAAGAAAAAGCGCGGATGGTTCCGGGAACATTGGAAAACACATTGAATCCTGGAAAGGATTGGACATGTTTTTTAGCCAAGTATGCATCACTTCATGAGGTAATATCTCGCGATCAACGCAATGGATTATGTTGTTTTTGGGCTCTTTGTAATCGTGAGAATCTGCTGTCAATAAAGATGTTCGATTTTTCACAATCCGTGCATGTTTAATTGAGTTATGAGCCAAAACGTCACATCAGACCAACATAGCGTCACCGCGACTGCAACTGCATTGCTGCGCATAGGACATCTTCATGTGTTAGAAGTCCATACGTAATATCTTTAGATCTAAGTGATGGATTAACGTGAGTTTGGGCTCTTTTCAATCGTTACAATCAGCTGTGAATAATGATGTGCAATTTTCCACAATTTATGCATGCTTCATTGAATTATGGGTCAAAATGCGGCACCAATGCTCCATCTATATACAACGCTCTATGTGCGCCTATGGGGTTTCGTGTGTTACAACTCCATAAGGAATATCTTCAGATCTGAGTGATGGATTACGGTGAGTACGGGCTCTTTTTAATCGTGAGCGACTGCTGAAAATAATGGTGTGCAATATTCTACGATCTGTTCATTTTTGACGTAGTTATAAGCGAATTACCAACGCGAGTGCTTCATCAGTATATACTTGGCCAGGAACGTCTGTGGTATTCTTGGTGTTAGGACGCCACGGCGAATATCTTTAGATCTGATTCATGGAATAAATTGAGTTTGGGTTCTTTTTAATCGTGAGCTTCTGCTGTAAATAACGATGTGCAATATTTCATGATTGATGTATGTTTCATGAAGATATGAGTAAAAATGCCAAGTCTAAACTACCTTGCTTGGCTGCGTGCGTCTGTGGATTATTTTTGTGTTAGAACTCCGCGAGGGCTATCTTTAGTTCTGAGTCATGGATTATGTTGAGTTTGGGCTCATTTTAATCGTACGAATCTGCTGTAAATAATGATGTGTCATTTCCCACAATCGGAGCATGTTTAATGAAGTTACGAGCGGAAATGTGTCTTAAATTAAACATCCATGGATGATTTACATATGGGTCTCTTGAGGGGCTTATTGTACAAAATCTTACTCAAGTTTAGTAAAAATCCCGAAACAATTGTGCTCGTTGTATTCTACTCCTTGAGACCTTTAAAATGACATACATGACTATCTGAGCTGTATGATGTATTTGACATATTGCAGTATGTAGTACAAAAATTAATTATTAAATTATTAAATTATTAAAACATTTTTTTTATATTTATCAGCAAATAACTCGGCACTACTTAGGAGTTTATCAAATTGGCTACATTCATTGTAAAATTCAGACTCTAAGCTTTCAAATGAGGCCTATTTTAAGTAGATCAAGGTCATATTTTTGAAAAATATTATTATTATGTTTTATCGCAGATGTGTCGCCTGCTGGCGGTACACTCCGTTTTAGAGGGATTACTCGGCACTCCTTTGTTATTAGTGTTTAGATGCATTAAAAAGTTGAGATTCTAAGCTTTAAAATGATACCTAATTTGTGTTATTACGTTCAGTGGTTGCTTAGTAATTTGATCATGAATTTTTTTTTATAGGGCGTGGTAGTGGGGGGGAAAGTGGACCTGACTACCCAGGGCCCCGTCTAGGGAGAGGGCCCTTTGAAATCCCACCAATTTAAAAAAAAAAATTTAAACCTAATTAGAATTAATTGGGCCCTCCAATTGATGTCATTAATAATAATTAAAAAAAAAATATTGACCAAAATGAACTCAGTGCCACTGTGCCAGACACTCTGGACCCCCTTCCAAATGGTTTAGTCCGCAACGCGTCGACCGCCCATAGACGCAGCGGGCGGCAAACAAGTAATAACGCAGTGAGTCTAGAGCCTGTAACGGGAGCCTGATCTGATCATGCTGTGCAAAAAGCCCAAATCGGGCTTTAAAAAAAAGAAAGAGAGGAAAGAAAAAGATAGGAGGCAGAATGCGGGGAAGCAGCTGATGACTGCTTTCTTCCCAAAAGGTGAACTGAGTTTGCTATATGCACCTAACGTTACATCCAATTAAAGTTAACGTAACTTAGTCAACTCCAGACAGCTGCTGCTAATGCAGGGTTCCAGACTGCGACCAAATTGGTCTCATATGCGACCATTTTTTTGAGAATTTGATTGTGCGAGTTAAAATTGTATGTGATGTGGTCGCGTCGCATATATACGAGTGGACGCTCGCGCAAAAGAACACCGACCGTTGTATCAGCTGCTGCAGACTGCAGTCCGTAACTTATGTTCAAAACGAACGAGTAGGCTACATCATGAATCCATTTTCCAAACCGTGTTTTTGACTTATCCTGAATCACTACGCCTGTTATAAGTGTTTATATTCGGACTATTTTTTTATCCCGGATTCCCGGGGTTGACTCGGATGCGAAGTTGCCCAGTGACTGCGTGACTCGCCATAGACATTAATGGAGAGAAGTAGCTCCGGCAACAGTGTTCTTCCGCAAGACACATAGACGTCACGCGCGCATTGCACACTGATGGTGGACGCCAATTACGAATTCATGAATAAAAGTATAAAAATGAAAATGTCTCAGGAAACAAATTATTACAAAATGCAGGAGGTAAGGAGTGTGAGATTTCTGATTTTTGAACTAACTTATAAAATTTGATAACGAAAAATCTGTTTTAGCTTGTTGTAATACTCAAATGTAATGTACATTTGAATGTTTAATGATTTTTAAAAGATAGAAATATGATGCTAATAGAAAAATGACAGACACAGAAGATTATGATTCAAATGTAAATAGATAGATTGAATGTAATTCAAATGTAAAATTCTTAAAATTACAGATTAAAATTACTGTCCAAAATCCATGAAAATCCTGAAATTTGGCAATGATAATTAATATATTACAGGTATTTATGGTAAGCCTTTGCTGGCTTTGGTCCATTAAAACCACTATTCATCGGCATGCATTGATTAATCCCATGGCATGTAGCAAAAAAAATAAATAAATAACCGCGACGAAATCAAATGCTGATGCGACCAACTGAGAAAGTTGGTAGCATCAGTTTAACCTGGTTTCTGAGGGTACAGTTGTCTCTCGTGTTCTTGTGTTCTCCTATTTAAAAATAAATGTTTTTCATTTAAAACTTGCATCAGTATCATGGATCAAAATGTTAGTACACAAAACCGATATAGCCTAAGGTTTAAAGGTATTTGAGCACAAGTAGGCCAAATGCATCAATTCAGGTGGTGAATGAAAGAACCAGTCATTACTATAATCTGATTTTATTATTTAAACACTGTTTATATTTGTTTATATTCAAATAATTAAAAAAATACATTTCATTCAAAATTGAATTTTCACTTTGCTAACCCGCATCGTACAATGCCATGTGTAGGGGGCCCATTGACATTGAGAGTGTACAGGGCCCAGAATTTGGTGCAACAAGAGTAATACTTCTTCTTCTTGTTATTATTACAAGTGCAACAAGAGTCATTTTTAAGTGCTTCAGCATGAATACAAATAAATTCAGATCACATTTAAAATCTGACATTCACATCTGCTTGAAAGATGAACAGATTTACTTCAGATCAGATCCTTATTGAAGCATAACTACTAAAGCAAAATAAGGCACACACTTAAAATTTCAATGAAAACAATATTAAAGAAAGTCAACTTAAGTAGTTGTATTCGTTTTTTTGTTTGTTTTTTTTTACAATAAAAGTGTAACAAAGGTCATGTGATCTCAGTGATCAATGCTGAACATCCACATTAATCTGGCACTGCGGTGTTATTTACATAAAACACCACATTCACAGGTTATAGAAATACTGCGGTGGCAAAAGCAATTATAAAAAGCATAATTACTTAAACTTGCAATCACATAAAATCAAATCTGTAAAAGTCAGATGAGCATTATGTTAATAGAGTAACAGATATGAAGCGTAACATTATAAAAACAATATATAAAACTGTTTGATAAACACATTTCCCTGTTCATCTGAAACCAAAGAAGCTTTTTTTTTTTTACAAGTTTAACAGCTCAACAGACGACTTCATTCCTCACTTTAAGGCTCATATAAGCAGAAATGTGTTTTGTTGTTGTAGCTGGAGCTGAAATGTTGATGATGATGGCGTGTCTTATCTCACCTCGAGTAATCTCATCCCCTCCTGTTCATTCTCCTCATCCAGATCTTCTTCATTCACCGGCGGCATCTCTATAGTCGTATCATTCACTCGGTTTCCTGAGGGATCTGCCAGAAAATACACAGACAATGACAGATATTAAAAAGAGAAATGTACTAGTCTAGATTTCAGAACTTAAGCTGAACACACACTACAAGATAATCAGGTCGATTTTGGGCCCAGTTCTCCCCATCCAAATACGATAATTATCTTGATGGATCTAGATGATCTTCTCAGGTTTTCCTGTGGTGTGTGAAGTGTGTTAAGAGTGACTGAATCTGCTCTGAAGAACGTCAGGGTCGCACCGATCTCAAATAATCGTTAATATTCAACATATTGAATATTTACAATCAGAAATCTTGTTTTGTGGGATGAACCCCGAGGAGAAACGCACACACACTCTGCAGACCGTCACAAAACACAATAAATAAAATGGAAAAAAAAAAGAGAAATGATTAAAATAACGAAAGTATCACCAGATCTGACTCTGGGGATTTCAAACTTTTTGATAACAAGAATCCCCATATATACTTATCCCATCATGATCCTAAAATACTATATACAAGCAACATTCAATAGTAATGTTATAAACAAGCACCCCTTGTTGCCTCTCAGGGGCCCTGGAGCACAGTCTGAAAACCTGTGTGCTTTACAATCATAATTCAGAAAATAAACACACCAATAACATGACATACAATATTATAGTTTAGTTATTGTATTCCTCGTTGTTTTCATTTCATTTGTTGTAAAACAGTAAGGGAAACATCATTAAATATTAAACTGAAAGACAATACTCACTACATGCAAAAACTATGAAGGTCTTGTTTGTGTTTCTTCTGCTGCTGATGATCCGTAGTTTATATTTTCCAGCATGTTCAGACTGCTCGTCCGACTGTTACTGTACTTCATTTTATTTTGATTCTAAATTGTTTTATTTACTGTAATTTATTTTTATAATTTTTTTTATTCGAAACTGTTTTAATTACTCTGATTTCTTTAGATTATTTTAATTTCTTCCATGTAAAGCACTTTAAATTACCACTGTGTATGAAATATGCTATATAAATAAACTTGCCTTGCCTTATGATCCTGTTCTGTCTCCATATTCTGAGCTGAAGATGCTAGATCATGACAATAAACATGGGCTACTAATTATAAAAAATTAAAAAATGCAAAATTATGTGAGGGTTATGTTTAGGGGACAAAAAAAAAATTACGCCAATGTAAAGTCCTCATAATAATAGCGCCACCACTGTGTGTGTGTGTGTGTGTACAGTATACGAGTCAAAAGTATAAACTGTCAGTGACATGCAAATGAAAACATGTAACTCTAATAACTTTAATATTTAAAGGGTTAGTTCAACTAAAAATGAAAATGAAGTCATTAATTACTCACCCCCATCCTGTACCAACCCCGTAAGACCTTCGTTCATCTTCGGAACACAAATAAAGATATTTTTGATTGAATCTGAGAGCTGGATCAGTCCTACATAGACTGCATAAGGGACTGGCTCTTGACGGCCCATAAAGTCATTAAAGAAAAGGTTTAAATATTCCATGTGCCTACAGCGGCTCAATTATAAGTTTATCAAGCGACGAGAATACTTTTTGTGCGAAAAAAACATAAATAACGACTTTATTCAACTATTCTATTACTTCCTTATGGGCGCATGCGCGAGAACTGAGACGAGGACGTTCTTCTCCTTTAACTACTTTTTGTTACCGGCTGCTCACCGCTTAGGAGTTTTACCGCCACCTACCGTATAAGATGATGTGCTGATATAGCTGGAAGCGCAAAACTTTCTGTTTACAAGCAGAGGAAGATGCGCGCTGTACATACGCTTTTCAATTAGCGTTTTTCCGCACTATAAGGTGCACTTAAAAGCCTTTAATCTTCTCAAAAAACGACAGTGTTCCTTATAATCCGGAGCGCCTTATATATGGATCATCATCTTATACGGTAGGTGGCGGTAATACTCCTAAGCGGTGAGCAGCCGGTAACAAGAAGTAGACGAATGAGAACGTCCTCGTCTCAGTTCTCGCGCATGCGCCAATAAGGAAGTAATGGAATAGTTGAATAAAGTCGTTATTTATGTTTTTTTCGCACAAAAAGTAGTCTCATCGCTTGATAAACTTATAATTGAGCCGCTGTAGGCACATGGAATATTTAAACCTTTTCTTTAATGACTTTATGGGCCGTCAAGAGCCAGTCCCTTAGGCAGTCTGTATAGGACTGATCCAGCTCTCAGATTTAATCAAAAATATCTTTATTTGTGTTCCGAAGATGAACGAAGGTCTTACGGGGTTGGAACAGCATGGGGGTGAGTAATTAATGACTTAATTTTCATTTTTGGGTGAACTAACCCTTTAAGAACAAGTTTTAACCTGCATAAAATATTCTCTGCAAATACATTATTTAATATATTTTTTCATGCTTTAGCTTCGATTGAAACTATTTTCATTGATAGAGCAAAAAACACAAAGTGGATCATCTCCTTTCACAAAGACCTCATCTATATTTGAAAAATAAATCGAAAGAACTACTTACCAGAGACAGAAACAACAAATCTCTTGTTTGTGATTTCTCCGCTGCTGATGATCTGTAGTTTATATTTTCCAGTGTGTTCAGTTGTGATGTCTGTGATGGTCAGAGATCCAGTCTTCTCATCCAGCTTCAGTCTGCCTCTGAATCTCCCATCATCAGCATCATCATGTGTTTTTAGAGTCCCTCCTCTGATTTCAGCGATGAGAATGTCTTTATATCCAAACCTCCACAGTATCAGATCATCTTTCTGTATTTCAGTTTCAGGGTTTATGATCAGATTCTTTCCCTCCCTCACTGATATCATCCTCTCTTCATTAGTGACAGCAGCAGATAGAAACAGAGAAACACAGAAATGTTGCCATCAGATCAAGAGTGTGAATGTGAATCACAGCCTGAAACTACTACAGAAATATCATTCAGATGGACATGATTTACAGTCTTCTCACACAGAAAATACATATTACTGTCTCAGTTCCAGTTTGATGAACACTGATCTGAGAAGTGCTGATCTATATAAAAGCTGAAGGAAATACTTGTGGACTTGTTTGCAATTTGACAAGCTGTAAAGCTGAAAATAAAGAGATTCAGATGAATATCCTTTCATGTCATGATCCTGTTCTGTCTCCATATTCTGAGCTGAAGATGCTAGATCACGACAGACATGGGCTACTAATTATGAAAAAGAAAAAATGCAAAACAAAAAATTATGTCGGGGTTATGTTTAGGGGACAGAAAAAACATTACGCCAATGGAAAGTCCTCAGTAGCTACGTTTACATGGACACAATCGGAATGAAATCAATACGGTTGATGAATCCGAACAAGGTGTTTACATGAATGATAAATAAAGTGATCGGGTTGATGTGCGCGTTTATATATGTCACAAGCAGGGCAGGACTTAGGGTGGTGGGGGCCCTGGGCTTGAGTCACTTTCGGGACCTTCTATACATGACTTTAAATAGAACTAAATGATACATACACAAGCTAGGCCTATGTATTAGAGCTGCACAATTCTGGATAATTTGAGAATAAAAATAGAGATCACGATTCTGCACAAACAACTTAACAAAATAATATAAATTATGTTAATTGCTGAACTCTATTAAAAATGTTTAATTCATCTGAATTACATATTAAAAAAACTTGGGTTTGAATGATTCAATTCCTCAATCAAAAACACTTGTTTCATTTTTGACATCTCTTGAATGAACGATTCAATGAGAAATGTTTTTTTAAGTCATTTGTCGCCATCTGGTGGCGTAACAATATAATCGATCCAATCTTTATTTGAACTGTAAAGTTACTTTCAAAAGGTGACTGGTACCATAGACAGAGTTGTTAAAAAAAAACGTAATAATTTATTTATATGACCACTGATTGAAGCTTTAAAAAGTTTTTTTTCCAATAAATAAATAAATAATGATTAAAGTGACCATATGTGTAATATGTACATGTATTTTGTCAGAATGAGAATAAAACACTTATTTAGCTGGAAAACATTGAAAAACAAACAAATACCCTGCAAGGTTGCAATCATAACAAATCATTTGTATTACATTTACATATAAATAGCTAAATCTATGGGTGTATAAATCTTTAAGAAAATAAAAAATAAACAAACTGTTCCTGGTATTTATGAGGAAAAAACGAAGTTACAGACGTGACAGTTCTCCTTTACTGACGCAAGCGCTCTGAAGTGACACTTAAGACTGCATTAAAACTTTCACAGACCTCAAACAGAAAAGGGCAAAGCCTTCTTTAAAGTGAATTTCGTTTTATATTAATTTTATCTTGATTTTAATCAATGTTTCATCAACCAATTGCCTGGATTTAATAAATAAGAAGTAAAAGCAGACAATTATAGATATTCACGACACGTAATAGGCACCGGCGCATGAATTGGAGCGCATCTCATAAATATACCAAAACTCACCATAAGTAGCCTACTCCACAGACTTGAAACATGAGCTACTTAAATTACACATTTCATTGCAGGGCAGGGTCAGGTAACAATGCTAGACCAATCAACAAACTTTAAATGAAAAATTACATGACTGACATATTATTGAAAAAAAAAAAAATCAAAAGTAAACGGACGGGGCCCCCTATTGGGCTTGAGCCCATGCGCTTGAGCCCAGTCAAGCCCAATGGTAAGTTTGACCTTGTCACAAGATTCAAATCAGAATTGAGTTTTTGACATGTGCACACTGCACGAATATGCCACGGTTCATGCATAACTATTCTCCTCTAATGGTTCTGTATTTGTTTTAAACAACAGACTTATTATTTATCCGTCTCTGGTCATGATTTGGAGACGACGAGCATGAACCATTTGCCGTTTATCACGCAGTAAAACCCCGCGCCCAAAAGTCGTGTGTGGATGAGAATCTAAAACAAGCACTGGTGGGACGTTGTCCTGCTTCACTTCACAGACATGGAGTGAAATGAGATTTTTTTTTAAAGAAAGGAACACAAATTTATATGACACTTTATTCAACAGGAAGAACAGCTCGTTCCGTGCGTCATTCGTCATAAGGCCAATTTATACTTCTGCGTAGGGTTCGCGCAGTAGTAACGGCGTAGCATACGCACAGTCGCGTCCCATACCGCGTACCCTTCCGCGTTGCCTGACGCGCACCTCTTCAAAAATGTAACTACACGTCGCGACGACGCGGACCGCAAGATCGGTGATTGGTCGGCTTGGTAGCATCGTATTTCCTCATACGCATTTCCGCACGTACCTTCTCACGCATTTCCACACATACCATCTCCTCCGACGTCTTCTCTCATTTCTGCCTTTCAGTTTGAGTAATTTCACTAAAATGAACTGTTTTTCCACCCCAATAAGCTCCAACTCCAACATGATCCACTCTCTTTCAGTCGTTATGGGCTCTATGCACGGCGTTATTTCCGGTGAAGGATTAAGGATGCTCGATAACTTCCGCCGATCATAGAGTCCAATGCAATACCGAGAGTTTATATTGAATTTTATACTCCATGGTTATACTAATGAAACGTTAGTCACAAAAACAGATAAAACAGACACCCCTCGTTGTGTTTATGCTTCTTTTTAAAATTATATTAAATAAACATAACTATATATAAAATTACATCTAAACGTATGTACGTTTCGTTTCAAAGACTGGAGGACAGTAAATATTGAAGACTCTGCCATAATCCCGTTTTCTCCGGTTTTCCTCCGCTTTAATCTACACAACCGGAAATGGACGAGCATCCTTACGTCAAATGCGGAACTTATGCGTGCATATATATATATATATATATATATATTTTTTTTTTTTTATTAGCATATGTTTTATTTCATACACGTTATTACAAACATATCTCACAAATATAGAGTATAGATGTTTAAATATGCCATTGTGCTAATTTGAGTAAAACAGCAAGACCAAAAATCTTTTTTTTCTTTTTTTTTTTTCTTTTTTCTTTTTTTTTTTATTGAACACACTTATTTACAAAAAAAAGCAATTTACAAAATCTCTCGTTGGGAGACTCATGTGCATAACATAAACAGTTACATTGAACAAAATTCAATAAACAAAATAAAAAACAAATAAATTAAATCAATTAAGCAAAGGCATTTCAGTCCATAAGGCACGTCAAAGTTATTCACAAATATATTATCCTCAGTCTTCATATAATCATAAAATAAAGTTACATGGAAGCTTTACAAATTATAATGACAAATATTTTGAGACATCTTCACATAGAGAATAAATTTTGTCACTGGAGTCTTTCAGAAGTTTCAAAGAAACAAAGTATTCCCTCAGTTCAATTTTAAACACTATTATGGATGGATTTTTATTTTGCCATTTGCATTTATGAATATGGTATTTACCCATAATTGTTATAATATTGTAAATTCTAAAGAGTTCCTTCGGAAGGTTTTCGTTACCAAACAGAATTTGCTCTAACTTCAATTGTAAAATTCTCTCCATTTTTATTTCTAGCCAATTCATGACATCTTGCCAGAATCCTCTTATCACTGGACAAGAGAAGAATAAATGTTCAATAGTTTCATCTTCCTGGGAGCAGAACACACATGGCTCCACTTCAAAACCAAATCTCTTTTTCAGCATTGCTGCTGCTGGATAATATCCATTTATAATTTTGAATTGCATTTCTTTAATTTTAGGAGGTATAGGCCATTTCATGAACTTGATGTATTTATTTGTTATTTTGTCATCATAGTGCCTTATTTTTATATTTTGGTCAAAATCATGAAATAGTCTACATTTTAGTATTTTGCTAATACAATTATTGTTACATTTTTTGCTGTTTATGGGAATTTGGTTTAATTGCAATTTAGGCAAATTTACTTGACCTTTGGAATAATGTAAATAATTTCGTATCATATTTAATAAGGCTATTGGTATTGCTTTACATACCTTGTTATAATCCCTTACTAAACTTTGTATATCAAATTTTGTTTTAAAATCCGTAAAACTAAGAAAATTTCCTTGTTCATCTTATATATTAGTGATGAAGATGATTCCCTTTTCAAACCAATTTCTGAAAAAAAGTGTTTTCCTACTAATTGTTATCACTCTGTTATTCCACAAAGTGGAACCATGTGGTGTAAAATTATGAGTAAATACCATCTTCCAGTAATAAAGAACTTGTTTATGATAATCGGACAGTTTTACTGGCAATTTGGATATCTCGAAGTCACACTTTAAAAGGAAATCCAAGCCTCCCACTTTATCAAAAATATTTTTCAACAGACACTTCATTTACACCAATGGTGTTCACAATCATGTTCCTCTTTACCTCAGGATCATTGACCTTAAGAGTAGAATCAACTATTTGCACTTGCCACTCTTCCTGCGGTTTCCATAGAAAGTGTGGTCCACTGATCCATTCTTCACTTGATAACAGCTGGTCTGCTTTCATACCTCTTGAACAACAGTCGGCAGGATTTTGAGATGTAGATATATATCTCCACTGTGACGGTCTTGTAACTTCTCTTATAAAAGAGATCCTGTTGGCCACAAAGGTCAGAAAACGTTTGTCCTCATTCTTTATGTATTTTAGCACGGATGTACTGTAAGTGCCTGGTACTCGGCCAGTGCTACCATTATAACAGCTTTCCGGGTGGCGTCCATTTTTTTCTCCGACTCGGACACGCAAAACATAATAGAATGCTTTAAGTGTGGACGTGACGTCAAATCCGAGGTCCGAGTCGGTTCGTTGGCTATAATAGAACGCACCATAAACCTACCCATGACCGAAGCGTGTTATATTGACGCTAAAGGGTGCCATGTGCGTTAGATGTATACGGATTGGCAAAAGCGTCAGTAAATGACGCCTTGGGATGAGAATGCGTTGAGAGACCCCGTGTCCTTGGGGAAGTGGCAACTCTCGGCTCCTGCTGCAAGTTGGTCAGTGTGGTTTGGGATGTCCTGAGGTCTAACATCATATCTATCCTGCAAACAAACAACATGACAAATCTAGAAGTTGACCGTTATAATCAGCAAAGCCAAGCACTTTCTTAATAATGGGAGTTTTCAAACCACGTCTTGTCAATTCATCTGTAACTTTGTAGATGCTGTAGATTAGTTGTGTGACAAGTCTTCATCTGTCCAAAATACTGATTCCACCAATGGAAACTGTAACTCTGCCCTCAACATCTTATCCACTCGAGCAGCAAGTACAGCGGCTGTCAGTTCAAGACGTGGAATTGTCACATGCTTCAATGGCGCTACTCTTGATTTGCCAAGCAGGAAATGAACATGGACATCCTTGTTTGTCTCCATTCTAAGATATGTTACAGTACCGAATCCAAGTGTACTTGCGTCAGAGAAATGATGCAACTGAATGTTGGTAAGTTGGTCCAATCCTGTGGGCTTTAAACATCTATTCACCTCAAAATCTGCAATCCTCTCAAGCTCTTTTAACCATAAAGACCATTGTTTTTGAAGATTTGAGGGTAGCGGATCATCCCATCCATATCTTGTTCTACATAGTTCTTGCAGAAGAAATTTTGCTGTAAGTGTGAATGGTGCCAAGAATCCTAAAGGATCATACACAGAGCACACAATCGACAAAACACCACGTCTGGTGCAAGGATTGTCTTTGATGTTCATTTTAAACTTGAAAGTATCTGATTGAACACACCACAACAAACCAAGAGCCCTCTCCACTGGTAGTTGATCCTGGTCCAAATCCATAATTTTTATGCCATGTGCTCGGTGTTCTTCAGGTACAGTTTGTAGCACAGAACGGCTATTACTGACCCATTTGGTCAATTGGAAACCTCCAGTTGAACACACAGCTGTGAGATCTTTGATCATCAATATGGCCTCTTCCTCTGAAGCTACACTTTTCAGACAGTCGTCCATGTAGAAGTTGGCATGAATTGTGTCAATGACCTTTTCTGGAAAATTGAACTTATTATCTTCTGCGGTCCTACGTAGTGCAAAACAAGCACAACTTGGGGATGACACAGCTCCAAACAAATGGACGTTCATTCTGTATTCCACAGGTTCTCGCTTCAAGTCACCATCTGGCCACCACAAGAAACGAAGAAAATTTGTATCCTCTGTGGCAACTTTGACCTGATGAAACATCGCTTTCACATCAGCCATAAATGCAATAGGCTCTTGTCGAAACCTCACAAGAACTCCCAAAAGTGAATTTGTCAGACAAGGGCCCTGCAGCAATTGATCATTAAGCGATGTACCTTTGAAAGCAGCTCCACAGTCAAATACCACTCTTAACGTTCCTTTCTTAGGGTGATAGACCCCATGGTGAGGGATATACCAAACCTTTCCTTTATCCTGTTTTAACTGATGCAATGGTACTCTTTCAGCATAACCTTGACTGATGACCTCATCCAAGAAAGTACTATATTCTTGATGAAACGTCTTATTTCTGTCCAATTTCCTCTTTAATCCCACGAGTCTCTGTTTAGCCACACAAAGGTTATTTGGCAACATGGGATTTTCCCTTTTGAATGGAAGATTCAATTTGTAGTGTCCATCCTGAAGCTTAATTGACCCATTTACCTTTTCCATAAATGCATGATCTTCTCTTGACATTTCTTTGGTTTCAGAAGCAATCTCGTTAAAGTCATGGTTATACTGTTTATTGAGCATCTCCTCCAGCTTGTCAACAGAAATCCTATTAACAGTAATATTCGTCCTTTCACTTGTGCTCCCATTGTCCTTTCTTCCTTGGAGAGGTCCATTGACAACCCATCCAAGTAGAGTTCTAACTGCATAAGGTCCTTCTCCATCACTGTTTTTAACCTCCCAGGGCTCCATTACCTTGGAAGCATTTGCTCCAATTAGCAAATCCACATCAGCAGGAATTTGGGGAATCTTAACACCTTTCAGGTATGGCCATCTATGTAAATCCCCTTCAGTGACAATGTTCTCTTTGGACACAGGCATTTTCTCCTGAGTGAAGACTTCCGGAAGACTGTAAAATATGTCATCATAAAGGCTAGACACTTCCAAACCAGTCAAAATGGAACTACTAACAGATCTTTGATCACCCATTGTTTTCAAAAGAATATTAGTCTTCCTTCCTTTTAATTTCAGACGATGCATTAAATGTTCTGAACAAAAGGTAGCAGAACTTCCAGGATCAAGGAATGCATATGTTTGAATTACCTTTTGTCCTTTACAGGACTTAACTTTAACTGGTACAATTGATAATGCACATTCTCTATCACCGGCCCCTGTTTGACCATATGCTTGAAGGGCACTTTGGACAAAGGCATTTCCTAGTGATGGAAGGTCCTGTCCTTGAGTGCACTCTCTCTCCTTTTGTTGAATATGCAGAATGCTGGGATGCCTTTGGGCACATATTGTGCAAGTCAAGCGCTTATCACAGTCTCTGCTCATGTGTCCAACACAAAGACAGCCAAAGCAAATACCTTTCTCCTTTAGAAAGTTCAGCTTTTCATTGTGCATCTTGCTTTGCATTTGTGTACACTGCTCCAATAAGTGATCACGTTTGCAGTACAAACATATAACTTGGGAATTTGATCTGAAATCAGACACACAGCACTGACTTGATTTGTTGTTGGTAACAACCGTTGTTGCAAAGCTGTTTCTAATTGTATTCCTAGGTTGAGGTTTCTGCTGCACAGTTTGAGTACTCTGAATATCACCAAAAAATGGATCAGATGACATTTTGACTTGACGTTCAACAAATGTAACAATGTCCTTGAACTGCGCTCTTCGATTGTGCCTTTCCATTAGTTCACTTCGTCGCAACTGGTCCTTAAATCACGTCCGGTCCAATTAATCCAAACCTCATCGGAATCCATAGAAAGCTCAAAAGTTCCAAAAGTGATGCGTGATAATCCACAAAGAAGCAATTTTTGACAAAATGTAGCGACAAATGACCATCTTGTCACTCAGAGGTGTTTGTAGGGATATCTGACGCGTGGCTCCTAAACAAACTCACTTCAGTCCAGTACTTCATTTACACAGTTTATTTTGGTTTCAGCTCAGATGCTCAAACAGCTTGCCATCACCAGTTATCATGTCCTCTCTTGATCTTGACACGGTCAAAAATTGTTTGCTTCCCATTACACCTGGCTTCTCTTACTCGTTGGTTACCTTTATACCAAATAAAACCCATACTCCACCCAGTGTTCACCAGTGGAAATACAACAGACATTAAATGAACATAATGGCTCTTACAGTAATATTTGGAGACACAAGCCAATAATCTAACCTTGAGCATAAGTTAGTGTCTGCTGGGCTGATCCATGTAAATTGCATTGTTTTAGGATGTGTCATTCTCCAGTAATCTACCAAGTTATTGGATAAACAAAAATTGTTCAACAAATCATTATATTCTGGTTGTAACCCCTTGGGAGGTTTTCTGTCAAGCCAGGAGTTAGGTGCTATGTTAAAATCACCTCCTATTATTATGCTATCCGTGCCATAATTTGCACTCCATTCTCTGATAGCTTGAGTTAACTTTAACATCATATTCCTATTGAGAGACCTGTTATTGTACCCATAAACATTAATCAAAATCATTTTAAAATCAAATACCTCCACCACAACCATTAGCCAGTGACCTGCTTCATCACTTTTATAATCAATAATTTTCCCTATAAACCTAAAAAATAAAATCATCACTCCTGCAGAATGAGAAGTTCCATGTGAATACAAAATATTGTCTCCCCATTGTTGCTTCCAGAATTTTTCATCGTCCTTGTTAACTTATGCGTGCATATAGCCCATTGCTTGTGGTAACCTAGCCGCGAGGAATCTAAACACAGTGGAACATTAAAACCCTCCGCCGCCTCCTAGCGTTTCGGAGCAGTACTGCAGCGCAACCAATACCTGAACGCAGAAGTTTAAATGCTCACAACGGCGTCGTCTACGTGCGAAGCCAACGGCGTACACTACGGCGTACCCTCGACGCAGAAGTATAAATTGGCCTTTACACCATTAAAACGTCATTGCACATGCGTAATCCTTTTAGTTTCGGTTTTCAATCCGATCGAGTGTTTACATGTTCTCCCGCTCGGATTACAATAGGAGTAAACTCCCCTTTCAATCCGATCGAAATTCCAGTCGGATCGAGCTCAATCGGATCGATTAAGGTGTTTACATGAACGTTTTTTAGTCCGATTGAGCCGTCAATCCCATTATAAGGGTCCATGTAAACGCAGATAATGATAGCGCCACCACCGTGTGTGTGTGTGTGTGTGTGTGTGTGTGTGTGTGTGTGTGTACAGTATACGAGTCAAAAGTATAAACTGTCAGTGACATGCAAATAAAAACATGTAACTCTAATAACTTTAATATTTAAGAACAAGCTTTAACCTGAATAAAATATTATCTGCAAATACATTATTTAATATATTTTTTCATGTTTTAGCTTCGATTGGAACTATTTTCATTGATCGAGCAAAAAACACAAAGTGGATCATCTCCTTTCACAAAGACCTCATCTATATTTGAAAAATAAATCGAAAGAACTACTTACCAGAGACAGAAACATAAAATCTCTTGTTTGTGTTTCCTCTGCTGCTGATGATCTGTAGTTTATATTTTCCAGTGAGTTCAGTTATCATGTGTGTGATGATCAGAGATCCAGTCTTCTCATCCAGCTTCAGTCTGCCTCTGAATCTCCCATCAGCATCATCAGGTGTTTTTAGAGTCCCTCCTCTGATTTCAGCGATGAGAATGTCTCTAAACCTCAACTGTATCAGATCATCTTTCCGTATTTCAGTTTCAGGGTTTATGATCAGATTCTTTCCCTCTTCCACTGATATCTCCCTCTCTTCATTAGTGACAGCAGCAGATAGAAACAGAGAAACACAGAAATGTTGCCATCAGATCAAGAGTGTGAATGTGAATCACAGCCTGAAACTACTACAGAAATATCATTCAGATGGACATGATTTACAGTCTTCTCACACAGAAAATTCATATTACTGTCTCAGTTCCAGTTTGATGAACACTGATCTGAGAAGTGCTGATCTATATAAAAGCTGAAGGAAATACTTGTGGACTTGTTTGCAATTTGACAAGCTGTAAAGCTGAAAATAAAGAGATTCAGATGAATATCCTTTCATGTCATGATCCTGTTCTGTCTCCATATTCTGAGCTGAAGATGCTAGATCACGACAATAGACATGGGCTACTAATTATGAAAAATTAAAAAAATGCAAAAAAAAAATTATGTGAGGGTTATGTTTAGGGGACAGACAAAAAATTACGGCAATGTAAAGTCCTCGTTATAATAGTTCCACCACCGTGTGTGTGTGTGTGTGTGTGTGTGTGTGTGTGTGTGTGTGTGTGTGTGTGTGTGTACGTACAGTATACGAGTCAAAAGTATAAACTGTCAGTGACATGCAAATAAAAACATGTAACTCTAATAACTTTAATATTTAAGAACAAGTTTTAACCTGCATAAAATATTCTATGCAAATACATTATTTAATATATTTTTTCATGCTTTAGCTTCGATTGAAACTATTTTCATTGATCGAGCAAAAAACACAAAGTGGATCATCTCCTTTCACAAAGACCTCATCTATATTTGAAAAATAAATCGAAAGAACTACTTACCAAAGACAGAAACAAAAAATCTCTTGTTTGTGTTTCCTCTGCTGCTGATGATCTGTAGTTTATATTTTCCAGTGAGTTCAGTTATCATGTCTGTGATGATCGGAGATCCAGTCTTCTCATCCAGCTTCAGTCTGCCTCTGAATCCCCCATCATCAGCATCATCATGTGTTTTTAGAGTCCCTCCTCTGATTTCAGCGATGAGAATGCCTCTAAACCTCCACTGTATCTGATCATCTTTCTGTATTTCAGTTTCAGGGTTTATGATCAGATTCGTTCCCTCTTCCACTGATATGATCCTCTCTTCATTAGTGACAGCAGCAGATAGAAACAGAGAAACACAGAAATGTTGTCATCAGATCAAGAGTGTGAATGTGAATCACAGCCTGAAACTACTACAGAAATATCATTCAGATGGACATGATTTACAGTCTTCTCACACAGAAAATTCATATTACTGTCTCAGTTCCAGTTTGATGAACACTGATCTGAGAAGTGCTGATCTAAATAAAAGCTGAAGGAAATACTTGTGGACTTGTTTGCAATTTGACAAGCTGTAAAGCTGAAAATAAAGAGATTCAGATGAATATCCTTTCATGTCATGACCCTGTTCTGTCTCCATATTCTGAGCTGAAGATGCTAGATCACGACAATAGACATGGGCTACTAATTATGAAAAATTTAAAAAATGCAAAATAATGTGAGGGTTATGTTTAGGGGACAGACAAAAATTACGCCAATGTAAAGTCCTCATTATAATAGTACCACCACCGTGTGTGTGTGTGTGTGTGTGTGTGTATGTATGTGTGTGTACAGTATACGAGTCAAAAGTATAAACTGTCAGTGACATGCAAATAAAAACATGTAACTCTAATAACTTTAATATTTAAGAACAAGTTTTAACCTGAATAAAATATTCTCTGCAAATACATTATTTAATATATTTTTTCATGCTTTAGCTTCGATTGAAACTATTTTCATTGATAGAGCAAAAAACACAAAGTGGATCATCTCCTTTCACAAAGACCTCATCTATATTTGAAAAATAAATCGAAAGAACTACTTACCAGAGACAGAAACATAAAATCTCTTGTTTGTGTTTCCTCTGCTGCTGATGATCTGTAGTTTATAATTTCCAGTGAGTTCAGTTATCATGTCTGTGATGGTCAGAGATCCAGTCTTCTCATCCAGCTTCAGTCTGCCTCTGAATCCCCCATCAGCAGCATCATCATGTGTTTTTAGAGTCCCTCCTCTGATTTCAGCGATGAGAATGTCTTTATATCCAAACCTCAACTGTATCTGATCATCTTTCTGTATTTCAGTTTCAGGGTTTATGATCAGATTCTTTCCCTCTTCCACTGATATCTCCCTCTCTTCATTAGTGACAGCAGCAGATAGAAACAGAGAAACACAGAAATGTTGTCATCAGATCAAGAGTGTGAATGTGAATCACAGCCTGAAACTACTACAGAAATATCATTCAGATGGACATGATTTACAGTCTTCTCACACAGAAAATACATATTACTGTCTCAGTTCCAGTTTGATGAACACTGATCTGAGAAGTGCTGATCTAAATAAAAGCTGAAGGAAATACTTGTGGACTTGTTTGCAATTTGACAAGCTGTAAAGCTGAAAATATAGAGATTCAGATGAATATCCTGTCATGTCATGATCCTGTTCTGTCTCCATATTCTGAGCTGAAGATGCTAGATCACGACAGACATGGGCTACTAATTATGAAAAATAAAAAAAAATGCAAAATTGTGTGAGGGTTATGTTTAAGGGACAAAAAAAAATTACGCCAATGTAAAGTCCTCATAATGATAGTGCCACCACCATGTGTGTGTGTGTGTGTGTGTGTGTGTACAGTATACGAGTCAAAAGTATAAACTGTCAGTGACATGCAAATAAAAACATGTAACTCTAATAACTTTAATATTTAAGAACAAGTTTTAACCTGAATAAAATATTATCTGCAAATACATTATTTAATATATTTTTTCATGCTTTAGCTTCGATTGGAACTATTTTCATTGATCGAGCAAAAAACACAAAGTGGATCATCTCCTTTCACAAAGACCTCATCTATATTTGAAAAATAAATCGAAAGAACTACTTACCAGAGACAGAAACATAAAATCTCTTGTTTGTGTTTCCTCTTCTGCTGATGATCTGTAGTTTATAATCTCCAGTGTGTTCAGTTGTCATGTCTGTGATGATCAGAGATCCAGTCTTCTCATCCAGCTTCAGTCTGCCTCTGAATCTCCCATCAGCAGCATCATCATGTGTTTTTAGAGTCCCTCCTCTGATTTCAGCGATGAGAATGTCTTCATAATATCCAAACCTCCACTGTATCTGATCATCTTTCTGTATTTCAGTTTCAGGGTTTATGATCAGATTCTTTCCCTCTTCCACTGATATCCTCTCTTCATTAGTGACAGCAGCAGATAGAAACAGAGAAACACAGAAATGTTGCCATCAGATCAAGAGTGTGAATGTGAATCACAGCCTGAAACTACTACAGAAATATCATTCAGATGGACATGATTTACAGTCTTCTCACACAGAAAATTCATATTACTGTCTCAGTTCCAGTTTGATGAACACTGATCTGAGAAGTGCTGATCTAAATAAAAGCTGAAGGAAATACTTGTGGACTTGTTTGCAATTTGACAAGCTGTAAAGCTTAAAAAATAAAGAGATTCAGATGAATATCCTTTCATGTCATGATCCTGTTCTGTCTCCATATTCTGAGCTGAAGATGCTAGATCACGACAATAGACATGGGCTACTAATTATGAAAATTTACAAAATGCAAAATTATGTGAGGGTTATGTTTAGGGGACAGAAAAAAATTACGCCAATGTAAAGTCCTCATAATAATAGTTCCACCACCGTGTGTGTGTGTGTGTGTGTGTGTGTGTGTGTGTGTGTGTGTGTATACGTACAGTATACGAGTCAAAAGTATAAACTGTCAGTGACATGCAAATAAAAACATGTAACTCTAATAACTTTAATATTTAAGAACAAGTTTTAACCTGAATAAAATATTATCTGCAAATACATCATTTAATATATTTTTTCATGCTTTAGCTTCGATTGAAACTATTTTCATTGATAGAGCAAAAAACACAAAGTGGATCATCTCCTTTCACAAAGACCTCATCTATATTTGAAAAATAAATCGAAAGAACTACTTACCAGAGACAGAAACAACAAATGTCTTGTTTGTGTCTCCTCTGCTGCTGATGATCTGTAGTTTATATTTTCCAGTGAGTTCAGTTATCATGTCTGTGATGATCAGAGATCCAGTCTTCTCATCCAGCTTCAGTCTGCCTCTGAATCTCCCATCAGCAGCATCATCGTGTGTTTTTAGAGTCCCTCCTCTGATTTCAGCGATGAGAATGTCTTTATATCCAAACCTCCACAGTACCAGATCATCTTTCTGTATTTCAGTTTCAGGGTTTATGATCAGATTCTTTCCCTCTTCCACTGATATCTCAGTCGCTTCATTAGTGACAGCAGCAGATAGAAACAGAGAAACACAGAAATGTTGCCATCAGATCAAGAGTGTGAATGTGAATCACAGCCTGAAACTACTACAGAAATATCATTCAGATGGACATGATTTACAGTCTTCTCACACAGAAAATTCATATTACTGTCTCAGTTCCAGTTTGATGAACACTGATCTGAGAAGTGCTGATCTATATAAAAGCTGAAGGAAATACAGTGGGGCCAAAAAGTATTTAGTCAGCCACTGATTGTGCAAGTTCTCCTACTTACAATAATGAGAGAGGTCTGTAATTTTCATCATAGGTACACTTTAACTATGAGAGACAAAATGAGGAAAGAAAATCCAGGAAATCACATTGTAGGATTTTTAAAGAATTTATTTGTAAATTATGGTGGAAAATAAGTATTTGGTCACCCACAAACCAGCGAGATTTCTGTCTCTCACAGACCTGTAACTTCTTTTTTAAGAAGCTCTTTTGTCCTCCACTCGTTACCTGTATTATTGGCACCTGTTTGAACCCGTTATCTGTATAAAAGATACTTTTTTATTGCATTTTAATAATAACAAAACATTTTACATACAAGAGTACATATAACCATATGTCAGGGGTAGAGAAAATAAAAAAATAAACAAACAAAAAAATAAATAGGCTACTGAAAAGACTTTTTACAAAAAAAGCTTGTACTTGTCAAACAGCTGTTTAGTTTTCATAGCTTTCAGATTTTTACTTTTGGAAATAGTTTTTAAATATTTCTTAACATCAATTTTAAAATGTTCAAAATTTGGTATTTTTCCATTCCATTTGACCGTATGAATATAGTAACGGGAAATTATAACAATTAAATCAAAAATAAACAAAAAGTTTTTTTCACCCTCAAATGAGAAGCATTTTAACATTACATCAATTTCTTCAAAGTTAACAGGAGTCATAACTTTACTTTGCAAGTAATTACAAAGTTCTTTCCAAAACATTAGGGTCTTGGGACATTCCCAAAATAAATGCTTAATAGTCTCAGGGGTATAAATGACACCTGTCCACAGCCTCAAACAGTCAAACTCTAAACTCAACCATGGCCAAGACCAAAGAGCTGTCGAAGGACACCAGGAAGAAAACTGTAGACCTGCACCAGGCTGGAAAGAGTAAATCTACAATAGGCAAACAGCTTGGAGTGAAAATAAAAATAAAAAATCAACTGTGGGAGCAATTGTAAGAAAATGGAAGACATACAAGACCACTGATAATCTCCCCTTTGATCTGGGGCTCCACGCAAGATCTCATCCCGTGGGGTCAAAATGATCATGAGAACGGTGAGCAAAAATCCCAGAACTACACGGAGGGACCTGATGAATGACCTGCAGAGAGCTGGACCAAAGTAACAAAGGCCACCATAAGTAACACACTACACCGAGAGGGACTCTAATACTGCAGTGCCAGGCGTGTCTCCCTGCTCAAGCCAGCACATGTCCAGGCCTGTCTGAAGTTTTCCAGAGAGCATATGGATGATCCAGAAGAGGATTTGGAGAATATCATGTGGTCAGATGAAACCAAAATAGAACTTTATGGTAAAAACTCAACTCGTCGTGTTTGGAGGAAGAAGAATGCAGAGTTGCATCCCAAGAACACCATACATTTACCTACTGTGAAGCATGGGGGAGGAAACATCATGATTTAAGGCTGTTTTTCTGCAAAGGGGACAGGAAAACTGATCCGTGTTGAGGGAAGAATGAACAGAGCCATGTATCGTGAGATTTTGAGCCAAAACCTCCTTCCATCAGTGAGAGCCTTGAAGATGAAACATGGCTGGATCTTCCAGCATGACTATGATCCCAAACACACCGCCCGGGCAACAAAGGAGTGGCTCCGTAAAAAGCATTTCAAGGTCCTGGACTGACCTAGCCAGTCTCCAGACCTCAACCCCATAGACAATTTGTGTTGTCCAGCGACAGCCCCGAAACATTACTGCTCTAAAGGAGATCTGCATGGAGGAATGGGCCAAAATAGCAGCTACAGTGTGTGCAAACCTGGTGAAGACTTACAGGAAACATTTGACCTCTGTCATTGCCGACAAAGTTTATGTTACAAAGTATTGAGTTGAGCTTTTGTTATTGACCAAATACTTATTTTCTACCATCATTTACAAATATATTCTTTAAAAATCCTACAATGTGATTTCCTGGATTTTTTTTTTCATTTTATCTCTCATAGTTGAAGTGTACTGTACATATGATGAAAATTACAGACCTCTCTCATTATTCTAAGTAGGAGAACTTGCACAATCAGTGGCTGACTAAATACTTTTTGCCCCCACTGTACTTGCATATGCATGTCAGCAACAAAATGTGTTTTAGCTAAATTTGACAAGCTGTAAAGCTAAATAAAATAAAGAGATTCAGATGAATATCCTTTCATGTCATGATCCTGTTCTGTCTCCATATTCTGAGCTGAAGATGCTAGATCACGACACACACACACACACACACACACACACACTAGGGTTGGCAACTGTCCCGAATTAGCCGGGACGTCCCGTATTCTGGCCCTAATTTATTTGTCCCGATTAAATAGACTGCTACACTGATCTAAGCACTGACTAATAACAGACACACACACGACACCAGTCATCATCCAATCACTGCCCACACTCATGCGCATCAGACCATACCATTAACAAACTCTCCATTGAGAATTAGACTAATTATTCTTTTGGGAAAAAACACTGTTTGATTTGCGAACAGAATCCTCTCCTGTCTAATCGCTCCCGGTTCGATCTGGACTCGCGCTAACGGCAAATCCTTTTCATTGTCCGATTTCGGCAAATCAGTTTTGGGTAATTCAAACAACGTGATTATTGTTCACAAGTCCAAAATCAGACACACAAGAAAACACGAACTCTTGCTGGGGGAATAATATGCTGATGTGATTTGCTGCCCAAGAAACAGTTCTGATTATTAAGGTTTTTTTATTTATTATTTAAAGTCAGGATGCTTTGATGAATAGGTTCAAAGCCGATTAAATCCGAAATAAAAAAAAGCTTTTGTAACATTATAAATGTTTACTGTCACTTTTGATTACCTAGTTTAATGCATCCTTGTTTAATAAAAGTACCGGTAGACTATATTACTTTCTTTAATATAAATTAAATGTGTAATGTTACAAAAGCTTTCTATTTTAGATAAATGCTATTATTTTGAACTTTGTTTAATGTGACTTTTTTGTGTGATGTTAAAATTCGTTTTAGAATTAAATTGTACATAAACAGGTTAACCGAAAACTGTTTATGTCTGAGAACCTTTTAAACACATACGAACCTGAAATGACACATACTGTGTGATACAGTACAAATATTTTGAGTGTCCCTTATTTTCATGTAAAGAACCACAATTGTCCCGCATTTTTTTCTTTTCTGAAGTTGGCAACCCTAACACACACACACACACACACACGTTTCTTATCAGTCTAGTTCAATACGGAATTGAGAAAGTAATGTTACATTTTTAACACTGAAATTATTAAATTCCTTGTGTTTGAATGCCCCTATGTTAAAGTTAAAGCTGTTCACCACTTGAGAACTGTGGTTCCACTGGTAATGTGTTGGTCAGTCACATGTGGAACATGATTTATTTTCCCATTCATGTCTTTTGCTTTCATTTATTTTTTAAATTGTTGTTGTACAGCCATGCAATAAAATATCAAGAGAAAAAAAAACATCTTTTTGCAGCTTTATCTTTTCTTCATTTGATTGAGTTCTGTGGTGAACAGTTTCTATTTATTACTAAATATTAAAACTGACTTTTTTATTTGCTGATCATGTTACCAAGAATTTCAGCATTAAAAGGTTGAACAGTATTTAATGGTGATTTTCTTAAACGAGTTTGAATCCCGAAATAAAGACTTTAAGACCCTTTTTGTTAAACATACTTTTGCCGTTACAAATGATGAAATCACTTTTTTACTTTTACAAGATACCAACAAATCACACAGTGAGATCGTTTTCTTGAACTGGACATATTGCACATGTTTGTTGAATTGACAAATCTGCATCTGATCATTCACAGCTGAGAAAAACTCAAGAAAACTCCAGTTAACAGTGACATGGAAACCAGTTAAACTGTAACATCTGATGATCATCTTTAGCGTCAGCGCATGGAGTTCAAACATTAATAACTAGGATTGGGACTGTCAACATTATAATGAGAACACTATTGTAATATAACAATAGACATGGGCTACTAATTATAAAAAAATTAAAAATGCGGAAAAAAATTATGTGAGGGTTATGTTTAGGGGACAGAAAAAAATTGCCGCAATGGAAAGTCCTCATAATGATAGTGCCACCACCGTGTGTGTGTGTGTGTGTGTGTGTGTGTGTGTGTACAGTATACGAGTCAAAAGTATAAACTGTCAGTGACATGCAAATAAAAACATGTATCTCTAATAACTTCAATATTTAAGAACAAGTTTTAACCTGAATAAAATATTCTCTGCAAATACATCATTTAATATATTTTTTCATGCTTTAGCTTCGATTGGAACTATTTTCATTGATCGAGCAAAAAACACAAAGTGGATCATCTCCTTTCACAAAGACCTCATCTATATTTGAAAAATAAATCGAAAGAACTACTTACCAAAGACAGAAACATAAAATCTCTTGTTTGTGTCTCCTCTGCTGCTGATGATCTGTAGTTTATAATCTCCAGTGAGTTCAGTTATCATGTCTGTGATGATCAGAGATCCAGTCTTCTCATCCAGCTTCAGTCTGCCTCTGAATCTCCCATCAGCAGCATCATCATGTGTTTTTAGAGTCCCTCCTCTGATTTCAGCGATGAGAATGTCTTCATATCTAAACCTCCACAGTATCAGATCATCTTTCTGTATTTCAGTTTCAGGGTTTATGATCAGATTCTTTCCCTCTTCCACTGATATCTTCCTCTCTTCATTAGTGACAGCAGCAGATAGAAACAGAGAAACACACGGAAATGTTGCCATTAGTGTGAGCATGTGAACATAAGAATTTGAAATTACAACATAAATATAATTCAGATAATATTCAATCACTGTCTGTCAGTATCCCTGTAACGAGTGAAACAGGACCCTGAACCGACAGCTGACGTATCCTGACTTCTTTACACATAACTGTATTATTTAAACGGTCACTTTGCATAGGTAAGATAAACTGATTTGCTGATATATGATGTAGTGTTTGGGACCCTATTTGAGATGATCAGTGGTTCATCTCAAAACTAACATCACACTTGTAACATCAGGAAGTTGGTTAGAGATGGAGCAGCTAAAATATAATGTTTTTTTTTTTAAATTAATATAATATTGGATGTTATAGTAATGTGTGATTGTTTGGGGATCCTGCACAATTCAGAGTGACTGTGCAGTTCTCTGTTCTGCTAGTATATACTGTACTACTCTCATGAGATGCTTTTTTCAGACACTTCTGGACCATCTACTTTATTATTTTTATTTATTTAACCAGGTTATCTCATTGAGATTTAAAACCTCTTTTCCAAGAGAGACCACCTGGCCAAAATGAACAGCGCACAGTAACAAATATAAACAAACACACGTACATAAACATTAAAAAAAATCAACATTACAATACTTAAAAGTACAATTCTATACATTTTTAAAGGTCTAATTACTATTAGTTACATATTAAAAGCAGTGACAGCAATTTATAGCATCTATTTACAAAGATTTCACGTAGTGTTTAAACTGACCAAAAGAAATCAGATTTTGCAACTTCAAATCAATCTGCAATGTGTTCCATGTGGAAGGGGCTGCATAACTAAAGTTCTGTACGGACTTTAGGTACAAACAACAAATACAAGCTACCAGAACGCAAATTGTAGGAACAGTTGCTACGACACATATAAGTGCAAAGACAAGTGTAACCCCTCACACCCGGGTCCAACTCGCCCCGCTCCGAGCGGGCCTCGAACCCGGGTCTCCGGCGTAAGAGTCGGACGCTCTAGCAAGGAGGCTAAAGACTGCAGCCCCTAGCGTCTGTCGCTAGAGCGCCTATTGAGATCGGGGAGTGAGGTTTACTCGCACAGCAACTACTAGCTGGCCTCCGTTACACAAGCAGGGGAGCATATCCAACATCGACTAGTAAATAAACGTAAGCCAATGCATGTGCCTCCTCATTGATAATGAAGGCCAATTTGTCCTTTTGTACAATGATGTGTTGATGCTGTACATCCAGTCACAAATCTTAGTGCACTATGAAAGACAGTATCCAATAAAGATAAACATTTATCAGGCGCATTTCTATAAAGCAGGTCACCATAATAGAGTGCAGTGAGAAATGGTACAGCAAACAATCTCCTGCTGGTTTTCCAAGAAAAACAGGCTTTGTTTTTAAAATAAAAATCCTATTTTTAGTTTGAGCTTCTGTACCAATTTATCAATGTGCAACTTCTGTCTGAATCTGTTACAATGCTAATAACCATGGAAATGTGCCATTACAGTCTGTAAATATCTCTTAACAACACAATGCAATCACTTAAACCTTCTATTAAAAAAGTATCTGGTAAGAATATATTCTATATTAACAATGCATTATATCACATTACACATTAATTAACCACAATAAATAAAACAAATTAAGTGATGTCTCGACTCAAGTCAACTGAATTACAAGTCATTGGACAGGCGTCCAATCACAATTAACCTCCGGAAAAGGGGAGTCCCGCCCCTCGACTGTCAAAAATAACATTTGTTCGAGCGAGAAAAAGCAGCAGGCGAGAGCAGATCAAGCGCGAGGGCGTGTGGAATGATCATGCACGCGCGCGAGGGCTTGTATTGCGTACAGAGGAGATGTCACGAGCGCGCACAGGATATGAATGAGCTCGCGAGTCCCCGTTTCCTCACGTGTGGATCTGTTTTCCTCTCGCGAAAGTCATTTACCTTTATAAACACTGATTCATTCAGGTATTAAACTGTGATCCTGTCTGTTGCTTGTAGACGCCTAACTTCTGTGGCTTATTTTTTTTAACAGACAGTACTTTTTATTGAAAAAAGCAACATCACACTCGCAAATGTGCTGTTAGTCTGATTATATGACCTTCACATCAACAGAAAATAAAACTAACCGACAAACATGCCTTGCTGACGGTTTTTAAAATGTAAAATCCTAATAGAGGGAATAAGGTATTATAAAAATAGGTAGAAATCACGATTCAATAGAGCGTCGTAGTAAAAATCTAAACATATTTAATGTGTAATTCCTTCAGTGTGATCACTTCTCACTTCCTTTGACAGCAGCAGTCAAGCATAGTTATCAGAACACAACAGACATTAGCAGAGGCTCACTTTTCCAAAACCCTTCAGTAATTCATAAGCCTTCAGTACACAAGTTTAGTTTCGAGATGTACATCACTGAAAGCATTGATAACTTGATTTTAGTTCAATAGAAGAATTTGAAACTTTAATATAAAATGTATTAAAAAGTGACAAACGTAAATGTAACTGATAATAATAATTACATGCAAGAAGTGTGATCATTATTACACTGACTAAAGAAAGATACTCACTTCTGAGATCAACTATGAATGTCTCGTATGAAACCTCTTTGTTGGATGTGATCTGTAGTTGATAAACTCCAGCATGTCTCATTTCAGTGTCTGTGATGGTCAGAGATCCAGTCTTCCTGTTCAGCTCCACTCTGTCCCTGAATCTCCACCCAGCAATACCATGGTCTATATAGATGTCTCCTCCTCTTCTGGTTTCAATTATGAGATCTTCATTTCCAAATCTCCACACTATGTGATCATCACTCTGTATTTCAGTATCTGGATTTAGAGTGAAAGTTTCTCCTTCTAACACTGACACTGTGTTCACTTCACGTCACAGCAGCACATAGAAACAGAGAAATGAGAAGGTGGAGGTTATAAACACAACATTTCCCAGGAACAACTTTTGAAGAGGACACAAATAATACAGCCAAAATGTTACTTGCAAGGATATGTGTACACACATGATTAATAACCTTATTAATATTAGTGTAGCATGTAGACAGTGCCTTTATCCTTTTTTTCAAAGTTTCTCTTTGTTTCAATTTAACAAATTGACCAAAATATTCCTCTTCAAAATCATTTATTTATTGCAATGTTTTTGAAGTTGTTATTGCCATGTTTGTTGAAGTGGATGACTTACTATACAAGAAGTTATGGTATTAAACAAGCTAGAAAATACATCGGTTATCATCCTTTTTTTCCGTCATGACTAATTTATTAATGTCTCCACGTTGAAGTTCTTGACCGCATTGTAGGTGCAAAAGAACATTTTTACTCAGGATTCAACGTGTTAAACATCGTAACATCAGCTGCCCACCTTAGATGGGGGGGGGGGTCCCTTAGGGCTCAATTTTGGCCCCTATACTTTCTTCCCTGTATATTCTCCCTTTGGGATACATTTTTATGAAATATGATGTGTCGTTTCATTGTTACGCAGACGACATTCAGATTAAAGTTCCTATTAAACGGGCAGGTAAAAATTCACTTGAGCCCCTGCTGGCGTGCCTAGATGAAATTAAGAAGTGGATGTCTGCAAACTTTTTAAAATTAAATTAAAACAAAACTGAACTGATACTCCTTGGCCCTTCTAAAAGCAGTTTAACGCTCTCAGACCGATGGGAGCGTCGGCGCTCCGGTTTGCGTGTGTCTGTTTAAGAGCCTATAGAAACTGAAACCAAATGCCTGGCTAGCTCAATCATTCTTTTTGCATACAAAGCCAGAGATGTAACATGTTCAGAGATCAAGCCTGTTTTCACCCTCTATCTAATGAGTCTGTACAAATTGCGTAATATACGTTTCCAAAAAAAAAAAAAAAAAAAAACACAAAAATGCATTGCACGTCTTTGCACACGTTCTGTAGATCTGCGATTGATAGTTACGTCTTCCGATGGCGCATTGACGCATCACGTTCTGTGCACTATGACCCCAGCGTGTGTCGCATATTGTGACGTCAAAAGCTGCGTCATTTGACCATGCGTTTGACTCCTATTTGACTCCCATCTGCTATATGTTCCTTCTTATCGTTATTGTCTTTTTACCATTGCTTCATTCTATAATTTCTTTCTCGTTTACACACTCGCAAATACAAGCCGATTCACACACACACACACACACAAGCATGCATGCAATGTTATGTCTAAACAAAAGTACACTGACGCGCTGAACTCTCTGTCTGCTCATCGGCTTTATTTATTTTATATTAATTTTATTATTAATTGTTCTGACAGGGTCTATTTATTTTATATTTTAACCAATTCAATGTTCAATCAATATTCAAATGCAAAATGTTATCTGTTTGACCACAAATGTAATTGAATATTTTACATGGCATTTTTACCCCCTTTTTTGAATGAGTATCTTAAAAACTAATTTATGTAAACGGTTAAAATCAATTTTGTATAGTTTTAAATAGTTTTATGCACATTTTTCACATTGACAAGTTTGAGGTTGACATTTACCATTTTTCTGTATTGAATAAAATATGTAGAATTTTAAAAAAAATTGTTTTTCTTTTTGTTTATTGCACTTTTGAGATATTTATCTAGTTCCTATTGATTTATTAAAAACATAGCCTTCAAATTGGGAGAGTAAGGATTATTTTGATGTATGGCATATGAAAATGCTCAAAAGAATGACAGTACAGCATGTAAAAATAGAAAGATATACTCTGGTGAAATTGTTCTATGGCAGGTCATAAAGGGTTAAGCCACAGTCCTCAAGTATATACACTCTCTTCGTCAGTGAACACCTGTGTGAAAAATCTTGGTGTTTTGTTAGATAGTGTCCTGAAACTAGATAAGAAAGTAAATTCTGTTGTCAGATCTTGTTTTTTCTATCTTTGTCTGCTGACCAAAGTTAAGCCTTTTCTTTGTCCCCAAGCCTTTGAATGGGTGATCCATGCTTTC